CTAGATGGTACGTGCGTAGAGGGGAAAATGACTCCGATTCTTCCTCCTGCCCTCCCGGCTCAACCAACTCTTCATCCAACCCTTCCTGACTCTCCGACTTTACCTCCTGCATTCCCGGACCCGCCGATTCTGCCTCCCCTGCCTCCGGCCCTTCCTGCTCTCCTTCATCGGTGAACTCGTCTGCTGGAGAAGACACAGGGGGAGCTTCGCTACTAGGGGAATTAATCGCGGGCGAAGATGGCACAGAGGGGGGGTGACCTACACTGTCTGCATCAACACTGCCAATCTCATCGATTGCTTTACCAGAGACCGTTGCATTACGTCGCAAAAGAATGTGGGGAACTCCTCTCCCTAAAAGCGGCCATACCTCAGCTTCTACATCGTCGTCACGTTCCTCCCCTCCCTCCTCTGCGACCTCAATCGGCAAGAGAGACGGTTGCGGTGGAGGGAGTTGTGACGGCAACGCTTCCCACGTCACATTCCTCGTTTTCTGAATAGTGCCAACCCTCGTAAGTACTCTATGACAGTCACGCGGGTGGTCTCTCGAAGGATCGACATAAAAGCAAGCCTCACCCTTCGGCAGCAGCTTAGACGGTCGCTGCCACCTACAGTAAGCCGGTTTCAAAAACGGATAAGGTCTATCTAGCAGGACTAGCTTCACCATGCCACATCTCATACGGCGACTTCCTATCGGGTTTAGCGGAACAAGCTGTGTGGTCAATTGCTTCGCAAGCCCAGTGCATCGCCTCAGCCCATAGTCTATCAGTCTTAGGTAATTGCACATGCCCAAACAAAACTATTGCCTGAATACGGGCAGCCCAGGCCGCCGCCTCAATCAATCCCAAACCGTGTTCTGCAACACCGTTGTATTGGGGACTGTAAGCCGGGGTAAACTCTTGCTTAATCAAGAGATCGTTGCACACGGACGCAAATTCTCTTCCGAAAAACTCCCCCCCATTGTCAGATCCAACACTCTCAACCAATGATGGGATACCATCAGCACGCACACTTGCGAGGAATCCCGGAAAGCACTCGCAGCGTCTGATTTACTTTCAGGAAATACATCCATGTACGTCTTGTGAAATCATCCTTAACATCATGGGGTAATGTTTACCCCCTACGGACGCAACGTCCTTCCGCCCTCCCAGGTCAACAAAAACTCTGCCCAACGTTTTGTCCGATCTGCATCTTGTTTCATGAGCAATTCCTTTCTTAAATACCTTCGACATCGAACACCCCGTACAAGCATGCCTCTTACCGGTCAACTCCATACCTAGTCGTTTTGCTGTTGTACGAAGTAATCCCTCATGTGAATGAGCATAAATGTTATGAAACTCGTTCACATCCATCTTAGATTCATGAGTGGGGTTTGAAGGAGTGAGGGCAGCTAACACCGAACCAACAGAGTTATTCTCTAGACGATACGCACCTTCATCAGCCTTGAGCTAATGCACTCCACCGTCCTACCTTCCTCGCCCACACTCTCCCACATGACCTCCTTGATCGCTATGCCCATACCGTGAATGCCCCCCTTGTCCTTGGTGCCAGCACGGGCGCCACTCCAGATGATCACGTACCCGTCGTGTGCAATTAAACCTTGCCCC